CAAGGCAGCGTATATACACGGATTCGGAGCGGAGGCTCATTTGACCAGGGGGTGGCGGCCACGCCCATTCTTGGCACAGATCGCTGAGTTGCATCAGTGGCAGATGGGCCGGTTCGGCCAGACGTTCCCAGAAGCCTCTTCGGGAACATCCGTCTTGGGTTGTTCGCTGATAGCTTGGTCCGCCCAGGCGGTCGTAGTGCTGAGCGCGGGCTTGGTGGCAACGCCGCCCCCGCCAACGGACAGAAATTGTCCGTAATCACTTTGGTTCAAGGATTGTTCGCACGGAGTGCAAAAATGGTCCGCTCCCGAACCGATGCGAGTGAGCGAGAACGCCTCCTCATTCGCCTCGCTATCTCAGAAAACACCCCAGTGAGTGTAAGATTCCGACTACCCGTGCCACCACACTTGAGAGAGCCATTGCCCATCCGGCCTCCAGAGGTCGTCAAGCTGCTCAGGAGCTTAGCGAGATGGCACGACATCTTAGACGACACATGCTCCCATTTCCCAGGAGGATTATCCAGCAGTGGAGGGATTGGAGACGGAGATGTCGGACGTTCAGCTCTTCAACACATTCCCCCTCCCTTCTCCCCCTTTTCCTGCTCTTGCTTCCCACCCCGATCGCTCGCCTCCGTCGCCCCCCGACCTGTCTTCCTTCCGTCCGCCGCCGCGTTTTTTTTTCACAGCTGCTTCTCCCCCCTCGCCCCGCAGGAACCCATGCGGGGGGGGGGGGGGGGGCGGCGGCGGCGGACTAGATAGCCCTGTGCGTTTACTGGGAGCCCCCTGTGCGATCCCCTCACCAGGCAAACTTACGATTGCATTCGGTCGCAATTGTATGTGCGCGTGTGTCTGCTTACTCTTGGGGTGATGAACCTCTAAAGGTCTGTAGAACCCCCGATTGCGACTACGACTACGACGACTACTATTACTACCCATGCCTCAGGAGCACTCTCACGGAAAATCCTACCTCAGAAATTCAAGTATCAGAAACCCGATTCTCAGAAGCTCCATCCTCAGAGGGACTGTTGAAGCTCAGGCCACACGAGGGCCCTCAGAAACCCCATTCGCTCAAGTTCCATGTCCAGCAAGATTGTGATCAACGCCTTCGGCGAAGAATGTGTCGATCTAGATGGCAATCTTCTGACCAACGTGCTCCCAATTCCTTTGTCGTGCGGTGGCATTCTTCCCTGGGAGAAAGAAACCCCCAACAGTCCCCAGCACGCCCAGCAATAGAGTGGAAAAATCCCCGCCGCGACGACGATGACGCTTACGACTACGACTAAGATCACGATTACGATTACGACTACATCCGCGACGACGATCACGATTACAGTCTCGATTACAGTCACGGTCAGAACCACGATAGAAAACACGACAACACTCACGACTACAATCACAAACACAAATGCATGTTGCGATTCTCAAAGGAAGATATTGCAATCCTCTTGAGAAGATGCTCGCAAATCCTTTCGCGTGCAGGGTAGCCCAGAGTGGATCTTGATATATATATATATATAGAGAGAGAGAGAGAGGAAAAAAAAATCCGAGAGCTTACTAGTAAAGGTGAACAAATTGCCACCGCGATGACGATGAGGACGACGACGGCGGCCACGACTACCACGATACTAGTAGCAGTTGGAGTAGTAGGAGTAGTAGTACTAGTAGTAATAGTATGAGTAGTAGTATTAGCCGTAGTAGTAGTAGTAGCAGTAGTAGTAGTAGTAGTAGTAGTAGTAGTAGTAGTAGCAGTAGTAGTAGTAGTAGTAGAAGAAGAAGTAGAAGTAGTAGTAGAAGCAGGAGTAGTAGTAGTAGCAGCAGCAACCGCAGCAGTAGTAGTAGTAGTAGTGGTAGTAGTAGTAGTAGTAGTAGTAGTAGTAGTAGTAGTAGTAGTAGTAGTGGTAGTAGTAGTAGTGGTAGTAGTAGTAGTAGTAGCACTCGTAGTAGTAGCAGTAGTACTACGAGTAGTAGTAGTAGCAGTAGTAGTAGTAGTAGTGGTAGTAGTAGTATTAGTAGTCGCAGCAGTAGCAGTAGCAGTAGCAGTAGCAGTAGCAGTGGTGAAAGTGGTAGCAGCAGTAGTAGTAGTAGAATAAGAAGAAGTAGTAGTAACAGTACTGTTGGAGTGTAGTAGTCGTATCAGTAGTAGTAGTAGTAGTCGTCGTCGCCGTCGTCGTAGTAGTAGTTGTAGTAGTAGTAGTAGTAGCTTTTGTAGTCGTAGTGGGGGTGGTAGTGAATGCTGTTATAGCAATAATAGTAATAGTCGCCGCCGTAGTCGTAGTCGTAACCGTAGTCGTAATGGTAGTCGTAGTCGTAGTACAAATAGTACAAGTGATAGTAGTAGTAGTAGTAGTAGCAGCAGCAGGAGTAGTAGTAGTAGTAGTAGTAGTAGTAGTGGTAGTAGTAGTAGTAGCAGTTAGTTGTGGTGGTAGTAGTAGGAGTAGAAGTAGTAGTAGTAGTAGTAGTAGTAGTAGTAGTAGTAGTAGTAGTAGTAGTAGTAGTGGTAGTG